AGGTGGTCACTGTTTCTATACTATTTGAAATAAATATAAATACGTAGCAACAAGGAGTGCTAATCTCTATTAATCAGTATTAAACATACTAGCAAAAGATAATAGAATTGGATCAAAATAAAGAATGTATTGTATATCATAATTGAAAGGTAAGTTACAGTTTTAGAAAAATGTGTCATCACATATGTAAATGTGTTACACAGTTGTAACCTTTCCGACCTAAAAACGTATATTTACTTCGAACTGCATCCTCAGTCAATATAAATACAACGGGTTGATGAAAATATCTGCCGACCTGATCAAAATACTGTAGTTGTAATTACTTATATATTGATAATTAGGATTTACCAATATTGATTACATAGAATTAATGGATTCTTGAAATTTTAACGAATAACTAGTATTTACTACATGTGCTAGTCCTTACCAATGATTATTATCCATGATAACATATTTGGAAAAAAGGGCAGGGTGTAATAAGGGCCTTATTTGGGGTAATTGTTTCATTTTCTGTGTCAATAACGTCAAAAGTAAATTGTAACGTCACGAGAAGGACACTACATATGTTCGTGAAAAATATATAGATTGTGGACATATTTATATAATACGTGGACCTGAAAATATAGAGCCTATGCAATTATTAATTAAATAATGTGACAAAATTTTGTCTATAAAACAACACATTACATGTTAATATTTGTGTGATACCTGCATGTGCTTAATATTTCGTCCTGATACGCTAATGTTGTTATTTTTTGTACAAATATGAAATTTTGCTATATTTTGACTGTAAATTCTCCGCTTATATTCACAATATTTAAATCAAACTCATTATAAGTTTAAACCTTTAAAAAACTTAACAATCTTTTATTATCTTGAATCTTTTACTTTTGTAATAGTTAATTTTTTTTTGTAGGCCGAAAAAGGGCCCTAAGCGCCCTTTCTACTTTAATTACTTGATTGCAAATTGAATTACTTATTATGTAATTCAAATTAATGTCTGTATCGAAATCTGTGAAAAGATAGATTCATCAGGAAAGTACTAAGCATGAACAACAATTAATAAACTTTCAAATAAATAAAATTTGTATTGCAGACAAATCTACCACTCAGTACAACTCCTATTGGGTTAGAGTACATAAGCTGTCAGGGACAAGACTCATTAGACCGATACTAACTGGCATATGATGCAAAGGTCACTTTCAACCAATAAATCATTGTGTTCTCGACTAAACAAGCAATCAGTACAACTCCAACGAATTTCGAATAAAACGTCATCAGTCATATCAGCAGAACTATACTATAAATAACTAAATAGCAATAAATGTTTAGCAACCTTTGTACCTATGAAACAATTTAGTAAAAGATTTAAATGATTTATTTTTTATTGTAATTTATTTCTTTAAATAAAAATATATCAGTTATGCATAGATAACATTCATTCAAATTGACAATAAGAAACGAATATGATATTGTTATAATTCTGGTACTTTCGTATATGGTTTCTAGAATCTAAGTTTGATACTGATAAATCGCACTCAGGTAAAATTCGTGTCCAAGTACGGCACATTTGACAAGATATCACCTTTCTAGAAAACAAAATTATTTTATTTATCACTTTTGTGTTCCTGATGGTTCGCAATTTAAGATAGCTGTCCCTCACAAATGTTGAAGTTGATCTAAATCACCCTGTTTTAACATGTTTAACCGATTATTTTTGACGTTGAGGTTGAGGTCACTCAAATTTTGTTCTAGTTAGCGAAAGAGCTATATACAAGGATTTTTTAACCATGAAAATGTTTAGCAATTCGTGACAGAAATTCAATGCAGTTAAAACACATAACAACATATATATCAAAATAGTCATCTGAATACAGATAACAGATTACATAATTATATGATAAATTCAAATATAAAAACAGTAGAAATGTCAACATTTTTTTTTTAATTGAGCCAAGTAAATCAATGTATGCAGCGACAACAGATAAAACGTCTTCGAAAAAGGGACGTGAAGTAAGTGTCAATTACACACTGGCACAATAAATCAAGACACATCTGGTGGTCAATTTACTTTTCACAATGAATAGTTTAAAAGATAATCTTAAAGAAAATGTATATATATACAGCTAGTCAAATGCGTTCAGTTAAAATATACTTTTTCATTTTTTTTGGTCTTTTGGAAAATGTTTGTGCTGTATTTAGGCCCCTCTACCAAGAAATTTGTTTTGCATGCACACGTATAAAAATTGCGGTTTTTATCCAACGCAATCATAGGTTTGAACGTTGTTTTCAATTTAGACTTGTTTATATTTTTTCGGTTTGTATTATATTTGCCTTCTGGTTTATATGATCCGTTCATCATATTTCGACGCTTCAAAATTCAAGAGTCTATCCTAAATTGAGGTAAATTTTATGGCCTTCCAAATACCGTTTCGATTCCTAACATCATTGAAGAGACATTAATTGTCGAAATCCGGATATGGTGTACTAATGTTTGCACCTTTTGTTTGCGGTATACCATCTTTTCCGCAAGTTTATTGTTTTCTGTTTGGTATTAAATTAATAGTTAAGATCCATTTTGTAACATCTTGTGATCCGTTTATTTGGCAATCGCCAATGGCAATCAGCAGGGTTTAAGAAAATCCGTTGTTCGACCTGCTAGACTGCGTTTTGTTGAAATATACTTTTTCACTTTTTTTGGTCTTTTGGAAAATGTTGTTTAAGCTGTATTTAGACCCCTCTACCAAGAAATTTGTTTTGCATGCACACGTACAAAAATTGCGGTTTTTATAAAACGCAATCATAGGTTTGAACGTTGTTTTCAATTTAGACTTGTATATACACAATGTATGTGAGAGAATTTTTTTTCAGGTAAACGGGAGGCAATCTAATTTGAATCAACTTCCTTCTCTCATTTCAAATGCATTATATTTCACCGATATTTATCTATAAAAAATAAGCATGTGTGGTATGATTGTTAATGAGACATCTCTCCACCACATATTTAATTATAAAGAAGTTGCCATCTTTATGGTTTATTATACTATGGTACTAGTTTGCACAACTGCACTGATTATCGTTTGAGTTTATATCATGATGAAATTACGAATATACCTTAACATTACTACTCTGTAGTAAACATGCTTTATTTTAATGGTTATAAGATGTATTAAGTATTATTTAAAGCAAATGCGTGCTATAATTAAATACTGTCAAAATGAAACCGTATCATAGACATTCTGTAAGATATGTGAGGTTACACATATGTTTTCTATATTGATGAATTAAATTGGGTACTAACTTGGTAAATTGGTAAAACTGTAAGAACTGCTCCGTTTATTCGTCAGTAGAACACCACTGTGTAGAATGTTCCTTTGCTGCTAAAAACCAAGCACGTACCGTATCTAGTTTAATTTGTAATCGTCACACGACGGGGTAAATGATTTGCTAGAGATTGGAAATTTGAAGTTGGTATTGAAAATGATTGTCTAGTCTATCATAAATCGTTGTTTGAAGTAGTCCTGCTTAGCCTAAATCAAGTTAAATATCAAAACATTCAGATCGACCTTATAGTCATTTTATAGTCTTATTAAAGTTTTTTTGTTGAAATACCATTGCACAAAAATGAACAAATTGGTGCCGATAAAAAAAACTTTATTTATCTTTCGGGGTATTTGTTGATCGAAAAAGTAAAGTTCTTTGCAAACTTGCATCTCCAATATTATAGAGTGAGATGATTTTCATAAAGTTTTTTTTTTTTTTCAATGTTCTTTTATCTTCAATTTCTAATTTGGCCTCCGTACTGTTTTGATTCTTGCGACACTGATGATTATAAACCTTAATTATTTCAAAACTATTGTTTGTATTTTATTCAACATAAAGACGTGTTGTTAATTCACGAAAAAATGAAACACTGAACAAAAAAGGATATATCCACAAATCATAGGGAATTGAGTGTGTGTGTTAACACAGTCTTTACAAAAGTATGAACTTGAAGGTAAACTAAAAAAGGAGGTTCATAGAAACTGACAAAATGTTAAACTATATCAGCCAATGAATGGAACGAATGGAAAACAACTGTCATATTCCTGACCTGGTACGGATATTTTCCGATGGTGGGTAAAACCTGATTGTATACCTAACTAAACCTTCCATTAAATATGTGTGTGTGTGGGTGGGGGGGGATGGGCTTTGTGTACGTGCATGTTGGTGTGTGTTCTTGCTGTTAACTTCATTTGTTGATATGCAATCGAACCGTCGAGCTTTTGCATGTCATGAGTTATGCGTTTTTATGTCTATTTTTTTTTTTTGAAGACTAAATTAGATTCCTCTAGTAGATATGTGTATTGTTTGATAGTTATTCCTTTCAATTGATTGTACTCGTAATTTGGTACTTGAAATGAACAACTCGTACATTTTAGACATGTCTTGTACATATATGTCGTCACAATGATAATGCATATTAGATATGTTGTTGCCGTATCGTTTTAAACACAACATGTATAGTCTCGGGACGATTTGGAGACTACCATATGGTGTTTTGCAAAGTTTAAAGCCGTATGATGATTAACTCTTGCTGTTTTGATTGCCGTTGTTTCTGTCTAATTGACGTTCATCTTTTAGCCAGTGTTGACATTAATAGCATAATCGTGCAGTCTTTGCGATGTCCAAGTTCTGTCTTTCTAGAGTTGCCTCACCTATTAAAACAGTTTACTGTGATCTTTTTTATAACTTTCAATCAATTATAGATATTAAAAAGGCAGTGCATGACAATTCTTAGATCCCTCTGTTTAATTCCTTGTTTCAGTGTCTTCAGCTGAATTTACGACTTGTTGGGACTGATAACCAAAATGAGCTTAAGCAAAAGAGTCGTATCATTCTAATGTCAAAAATATATGTTCATTATTTTCAACTTGAAAATACCTTTACCCATTCCCCAAAGTGATTATCAGTGTATCGCATATAAATAAAATCAAAGAATGCTTATTAAAAAAAATACAGATTATTATCTCATTTTATCTGATATTCATTTCAAGTTCTATGTTTAAATAGATAATATTTCCTCGGTTCTGTTATTTTCCACATCCTACACATATGCAGGTCCATTCAAAGCATATATAATCCCTACTACAGCACCAATAGTCAAAAATGCATGGTCTTCCATCACACCTCTGTCTTTTTTCAAGCCTAAAACAAAACAATAACTAGATCAAATACATTCGATAAAGCATTCGTAATCACATTTTTCGTTTATTAGTGACATCAGTGTATATCTGTGTATATTTGTTACAGGAACGGATGATGGACAGGTACATATAACAATGTCTACTACTAAATTCGAATAGCTATAAACAATATAGATATTACAATTAAGAGATGTGCGATGATTTTCAATGAGACAACTCTCCACCAGAGACCACATGACATAGAAGTTAACAATTAAATGTCAATATACGGCATTCAGCAATGAGAAAAACACATACCGCATAGTTAGCATAGAGTTTACATTCTGGTGGAGGTGTTTCTCATTTAGTTGTAATGACACACATAAGTACACATGTAACTGAATGTACCTTATTGAAAAACGCTCAAATTAAACTATCTGAAAGTATGAATCCCAAAATACACGAAAAGCTATATGTTGAAAAGAGACACAGAAATAATAGTCAAATATATCTAGTCTTCTTTGCAGGAGTTGGAAACTTAATTTCTTAATATTTACTTATTTATACACATTTTAATAGTCAAGGTTATAGAAGAATACATTTTTAAACGATCATTTGTAGAAAGGGATATTATAAATCATGTCAGTACAATAGAACTGACTACTGAGCTGATGATACCATCAGGGACTTATAGTCAACCAGCAACGATATCAATCAAGTGTTATATATTCAATATGTCCGAAGCGTTTTTCTCAACTTCCCTTTTTTAGGAACTCTAAAATTCAAATGATTACATGTTTTTAAAGTGATTTATTGATTTGAAACTAATAACACCGCAACACGTGTACACGTCAAGAGTTAATAAAATCATCTGTGTGTGTAGTTATATATGCAATGTGATGCTTATAGCAGATCATTAGTCCTGCTAAATGATTTTATCCACAACTTTTCTAGACTCGAATTAGAGTTTTTCTTGTTTTTGTTTTTGTTTTTTTTTTTGTTTTTGCTGTCTTATTTGCACATATGTTTATTTATGACATCATTAAAACCGTGTAATGCTACCTATCAGGGTCTGCATATGGAGTTAATATTTCCCATTCGTTACAATATTATTGAGCTTCTATTTCCTGATCATGATGTCCTTAATAGTGGAATTGAAGTTATTCCTTGAATGTTTCATGGACGTCATCAAAAATTTATTATCTGTTATTGAATATCTATTTCAGCGATCACAACGCATATGTTCGTAACTACCATCCCGTCTTCTTTTCTTCGAACGTGACATCCTTGAATTAGACTTATCACCGGATTTGTACTAACAAGATCAATACGATGTGTGTCACATGTAAAACAGGGTCTTCTGTCCCTGCCGGAACACATGAGATCACCCTCGGTTTCTGATGGGATTTGTGTTGCTCAGTCTTAAGTTTTATGTTGTTTTTTGTATATTGTTCTTTTTCGTTTGATCAATTTTCGTTTTTTACCTTGGCGTAGTCAGTTTTTTATCGACTTGTGAGTTTGAATATCACTTTGGTATCTATCGCCATTGTTTTATTAAAGTCTTTTAATTGTAATTAGCCTACTCGAGTGTGTGCTTAATGAACTTTAAACTTCCTATCCAGCAGAAACACTTGATTCAATCTCCGGTTTGAACAGGGTTCGTTTTCCTCCTATATAATTTTTTAGAGCTGTTGATTGTGCGTTTGTCTTTTCTTTTCCATTGTGCTATATGTCGTATTGGAGTTTTAGTTATTGCTATCTTCGTCTTTTTTAAAATCCACTTTTTTCTTACGTAACATTGTTGTTTTAATTCTTTCAATTTTGGAATTCTTTTTACTTTGCAACATTTGCAAGAATCATTCCTACAAGTAAGATAGCGTTGCATTTCTGATTCTACCGTCTGAAATACATTTTCTGATTATAATTGATAACGCTTTTTGTATTGGTAACAATGACATTGTAATCTACAATATAACTAATGAAACTGAAACATCATGTATGTTACTTTTATCATAGCGGTACATATTTTTTTCCGAGGGGCATGTACGTTTGATATTTAAAAACTTCATATACAATTTACTGAATGCAAACCGATAAGTTTAACCGTTAACATGTATACTCTTTCACACATAGACTCGATTTACTAATAATCAAAATATGCGACTGAACTTACTCATACCTACGGTCACCGTCTTCAAATATTTCGTCATCATCCATAAATATTTCGTCATCCGCCATGTTGACTGGAAGTAAAGTATTCTTCACATTTAATAACGTGATCGGGTAACATATTTTAGGACTAACAGTACTGTATTTGAAAAAGTTGCAACCGTTAATAAGGGATTTGACGGTTGCATACGCAGTTTTACTGTTTTTCTTATACTACATGTAATAATGCAATACTTTTAAAATTTTAAGAATTTAACATGTAAAATATGCCGTAAACGTTGACTGCGACAGCGGAACGTTGTTGCAAATGATTCTGACCGTCAACCGTGGATTGTCGTGACATGCCAAATTGCCTTAGAATTTTCGTTATTCACCAAGAAAATGTCGATATTGAATTGACATATTGACATTTCCCCCCGTTATGATAACGTTACGGAAAAACTGTCATAGGGGAGATAAACTAAATAGCAAAATTGTAAAATGAAACTAACACTTATAAATTGTGTGCGTTAAAAACGCTTTCTGGATTAAACTTCACAAAGTCTATTCAAACCATGTGGGATCTAAAACAACAACCATATTCACCTTCAACACTTAATTCTCTTAATAACAAAAAAAACATTTAGATATGTTTACCATTGCAAAGTTTCTGACTAGGTACAGACACATGGAAATGTGACGGGGTTAAACTTGTCTTTTTATCTCTCTATCAACCAAAACGATTCGCGATCAGTGAACTTGAAAAGGGAGCATAAAAGAAGATACAAAACAAAAGTTATATGCAAAACTTATGCTTTAAATGTTGCTGCTTTTAAAATAGTTGAGATTAAATTAAGAAGAACTAATATTAACATATTCACATTTAAATCAATACTGCATGTTAATATTGTTCTATTGTTTGTTGTGGACCCTGTCTCATTTACATATTACCGTTTATCTGTAATTATTTTTTTTTATTGAAATCGATGAAAGTAACGTAAACTTGAAATTGATAATTAGACTTGCATATCAGATAAACAAACAATATTGGCCCTTCAACGGTGACAAAAATGAAAAACATAAACTTGTTAATATAGAAACGTTATTACAGTCAGCGGAATAATAAAAAATGTCATTAGTTATTCGTTTGCAATTATTTGATCTTTTACCGATACAAGGATCTACCTTAAGAGGGAAAAACACATTTACAAACAAAAAAGTTTTATCTAAAAGAAGATTTTATGTTTTCTTACCTCCAGCAGACACTAACAACAGACAAACGACTAAACAAACAGAAACCTTCATTCTTATTTTTTGTTCTCTATAACAAAAAAATAAATCTTTTTGTAAATGTATGCATACTATGAACTACGTCTTTGTCTTCAAGGATATTTCTTAAACGGTATCATCACTATTTGTGTTTGTCCCTGATTACTGCACATTTTTGTTCTTTCTTTTCGTAAGAAGTTTATTTGCATTATTTTTTACATGTCCATATATTTTGATCACACAATTTGTGGGAGATTTAAACATAACCGAATTCTTTAAAAGCAAATCACTCTTTATCTCATTTGTTTATCAGTTTAAATAAAACAATCTGACTGTTTTAGTTGGTTTCATTTTTTTCGGCAGAGCTGGTTTTACATATTGTCTTTTGTATGATACCATACATTGATGAAAGTATATCAGGTTAATTGTAAAATAAGGTTGACGGCTATCAATGAGAAACATTTAAAAAAGGAAAATTACTTTTTAATATTTCATAAGCATTTCATATTATATCAAATTTTGATACTTTTGCAGGCGGACAAAGATCAAAAGTACAATATCCGACAGGTACTTGTAGCAAGTGCCTCATCACTAAAGAAATTGTACTTTCTACTAAAACAACAATTATAACTACGCTTAGCAAATTTAACTGTTACGTTAATTTAAAGGGTTCTTTTTAGATCTTTAAGGTTAAAAATGCATTTTAACATTGTTTTATAAAATGACAATTTCTCATTATTATCATGATTATTATTTAGACATTGTATGTTAATTAATATATGTAATTAAAGTAATGATAAATGCTTGTAATGCTGTACATTATGCTTCAAGCAAATAATCTCGGTTTGCTTAATAGTACGCTTCGACACTTACTTTGTAATCGCTAAATATTTACAAAATATGCATTTTATTCTACACTAAGTCTTGATATGACTTAAAATATACTCACATGACAAAATACCGTCAGTGTATGAAAGGCTGTCAAATGCACTGCAGTTTATTAGCTTGTATAGACGACTATGAAATTAAATAATCAAAGCAAGTTTAATAAAGTAGCTATAGGTCATCTCAGGTTAATTAGTTATACACGATTCAAGGATTAAAATGCTCAAAACGTGCGCGTTTCCTTCTGTATGTCTTTGTTTGTTTGTAAAAAAACAAAATCTAAACAATATTAGTATGCTATGTAACACAACACGTCCAGATACAATTTAAAACTACATAAATAATTAAATGATCAAATTAAAACTAATTTGCAACAGTATTTTGTAACTATTTATCACTGAGATGCATGACAAGGGTTCCCAAAATAAAGTGATACAAAATACAACGATATGTTAACTTTCTGTATTAATTACTGTTTATTTTGGATATTTATTTTTACCATGATGACAACATTGTGGCTTGTGTTTTTTATTCGAATTACAGTATATTTGTCATGTGTAATGTGTAACCACAGACCAGCTGACCGTTCCTTATTTAGATACATCAAGTTAAAAATAAGAAGCGTCACTCTAGATCTTTTTTTTGGGGTTCTTTTTTGTTTATTTTGGTTTTTGTTTTACTGACGAGTAGATACAAGCCTTTTCATTTACCCTCGCTAACCGATATGTTCAAAATTTTAAAACTTTCACAGCAACAGTTTGTTACTTATGTTTAATGTATCTGGTAATTTTTATTCGTTTTTATTAAAAAGAAACTTTTCAAGTTAAATGACTCTTTCACAACTGACGAATTATTTAAAGAGGATTGGAAAACATAGAATATGAATAGGTCAGTTTTTTTTTTTTTTTTTATTCTATTTTTGTTTTGGATTTATTTTTTCACTGTGTATAGTATTGTCACATTCTTTATGTGCATGTCACAAGTCAGAGCATATAGTACAGTGGTTGTCGTTAGCTCCTGTTTGTCATATTGTTTTTCGTAAATTATTTTGGTATGAATTTGATTGTTAGTTTTCTCGTGTGAATTGTTTCACATTTTCATGTCGAGGCCTTTGAAAGAGAATATATGGTAATGGGTTTTCTCAATGTTGAATGTCGTACCGTTGCCTATAATTGCTTACTACCCCTTCATTTTGACTGGTGGATAGTTGTCTCATTGTTTATCATACCATATTTACTCAGTTTTGTAGTCGTAAGCTTGGAGGATAGGATTAACATAAAACAAAATAACAGTATTTTAACTTGTCTTGATTATGACTCGCATGAGTCATACACCATTGAAAAATTTCTACTAGGACGAATGTGCCTCTAACATCACAACTGAAAGCAAATGAATGCAAGTTGAACTATTGAAAATAAATGACAATTTATCATCATATTAAAAAACTGAATGTTAATCCATGTTTATGATAAATAAAAGTATGTATGCTAGTGTCGTTCCACATTTTGCATGAAGCGCGTATTTTTTTCTTGCTTTAAAATGTGCTAGGTTACATTCTTTCATATCGCTTAAAAATTCCATTTAGTTTCACACTTCATATGATTGAAACTGTACTTACATAGGAAATTCCGTCAGTGTATTGAAGTCTTTGAATATTGAGCATTTTTCCAGCTTTTATACACGACTATGACACAGGGAAAATATAAACGACAACAAATTTAAACTGAAGTATCATGCTTTGCGGCTAAAGGTCTTTTCATGGATAATGTCCAGTTGATCAGAAAATGCACGTTTCCTTTTATGGATTCTTGATGGAATATGAAATAAATTTTGACAATAAATAAGTGTTATGTAAATCGTCAAGATACAATTTAAAATTTCATAATGATGAGAAATTTATCACTGCGATGCATGACAATGGCACACATAAAGGAAGAAACTAATGCAATGGTATGTACATAGAGACAATATGTAAACTGAAGCATCCTGTTTTGCAGCTATAGGTCTTTTCATGGTTATTTTTCGATTACATGATTTACAAATTTTGATGATCAGAAAATGCACGTTTCCTTTTGTATATCCTTGTTGGATTACTAAAATAAATTTTGACAATAAATAAGTTTTATGTAATATGTTTAGATACAATTTAAAATGTTATCATGATGAGGTATTTATCACTGAGATGCACGATAATGGAACATACATAAAGGTAGAAACCAATGCAAAGGTATGTACATAGAGGCAATGAAAACGATGTCTGTCTTTAAATTTTAAAAAAAATATTATCAAACATTATTTATTTCAGATGCTTAATCAAAACTTGCATTTCTGCTTGTTTTTCTTTAAATTACAATATAAATATCAATTATTACCACATCAAAGCTAAGCATCACTAATTCAGGTGTAAAGAGTTTAAAAAAGGTAGCGTCACATAAATTCATCAGATATCAAAAACCTTGGTCAAATACAGACAAATTCTATAACTTATGATGATTAGTGAGTCCGGTAATACTTAATACGAATAGCTTGTTAATTTTTTTTTTAATATCGAAGATACATGTCAAGATTCTTTTGACATTCTTTGATCTTTTACTTTAGACATGCTTCTTTACTGATGTACCCCATTTTGATTACGTACTTTTTATAGTGATTTATATATTTATAATTTCCTTTTCCTACGCTTTTAATCTTGTCACAGAGAGACAATTTATTGCGATAAACATTAGGGCAATGAGATAAAACAAGATATATAAAAATCACATACCTGATAAGAATTATGTAGATACATGTATATATAGACATAAATTTAGTTGGGACAAAGGTTTTTCTTATAATTAATTGAAAACTAATTGCATTACAATTTCAACAACAGGTTTGTACTTACACATGTTACATGAACAACACTACCGGTCCCACATGTGGAGTTGGATCTACTTACCCTTCAGGAGCACCTGCGATTACCCCCGTTGGTACGGTTCGTGTTGCTCAGTCTTTAGTTTTCTGTGTTGTATTTTGTCTTTTCGTAGTTTGTTGTTGTTTTTTTTTGTGTTTTTTGTTCTGTTTTTTTTTGCCATGGCATTGTCAGTTTGTCTTAGACTTATGCGTTTGAATATTTCTAAGTTATCTGTCACCTCTCTTTTACAACATGCAGTTATAATCTTTAAAATCATATACGGACGGACCTTTAAAACGCAACACTAAATTATTCTTTTTCATTCACATTTTTAAAAACATTAATTCATTTTATAAAAGAGTTAGAAGTTCGAAAGTTGATTTGATTACGTCATGGTTAATGTTCTAATCGTGTGGTATGCACTGAAACACTGGTTTCCCCTTGTCGAATCATTGACTCCTTGTAACCAACGCTTAATTATTGACATAAAATTCATCTAGTTCTGTTGCGCAGGATTTGAGTTATGTACATGTATTGTACCTTCTGATGTTGCCTCTTTCCCACCCATTACAGTGTGTTTGGGGCATTATGTCTAAACTTGGAGATTTAAAATGTTTTTTCAGCAGCCGATTCTTTGGCATTTCAGTATATGGGAAATATTCATGGCTTGATTCTGTATGCTTTGGCATTCGACGACTTGATGAACAGTTGATGTTGAGTACGTGAACATGTCTTGCAGATGACGTTGTATAAATTTTTATTGACGTAGCATTTTTACTGTATATTGATCTGTCATGGGGGTTCATCAACAATCCCGTCTGCCTGTACTTTTGTTTTAAGGACAGTACGCCAAGTTTCTGACGTGAAAATGCCTTACAACAGCACGTTCATATATTCCTGTCTGCAATATTCTTATGGTGGTATTAATATTTTCATTGCTCAATCTAGGTGATATGGAAATGTAACATGTTTATACTGATTAAAGAAATTTGTCTGACGTCATCAATCTACAATGTTCATTATTATGTCTGTTTGTTTTGATCACACATTGTGAATTTTATGGGACTGTCATACAAGTGAGAGGTTCAGTTAACTATAAAACCAGATTTAATCCACCATTTTCTACATAAGGAAATGCCTGTACCAAGTCAGGAATATGACAGTTGGTTTCCATTCGTTTGATGCATTTGAGGTTTTGATCTTGCCATTTGATAAGGAACTTTCCGTTTTGAATTTTCTTTGGAGTTCGGTATTTTTGTTATTTTACTTTTTACCTCAAGGAAGTCATGTTTTGAATTTTTCAAACAGAAAGAAGTCTGGTTAGCATGAATAGTAGTGACATGCAGATTAATCATGATTTGGTAAAACAAAACTCCAAAATATGTGTGGCGTTTTTGATTCTCGACAGTATATTTGAAGATATTCATGATTGTTTCAGACACAGACAATTTTGAATTTATTATTTAGTTTTGAAAAAGAGAGTCGAAAAGATACCAAAGGGACATTCAAAATCAGAAGTCGAAACTAATTGTGTGTTTAATTATAATTGATGTTTTAATGTGACAAATATTGGTATCCTGGTTTCGTTGAAAATAATGCACTACAAACTGTAACCGGGGGTCCGTTTATATCTTAAGTTAGTTTAGCTCGTATAATTATAAAGTTATGAATATGTGGTATGATTGCAAATGAGACAACTCTCAACTAGAGACCAAGTAACATAGAGGTTACCAACTATAGGTCACCGTACGATCTTCAACACTGAGTTTAACCCGTTTAGTTAGCAATATAAGGCATTGAAATGACAAATTTAAAACAATTAAGACGGGAACACTAACGTCCTGATTTCAGTACAATGCAATAAACGAAAAACGAATATGATATACAGCATCAACAACAACCATTGAACTGCAGGCGCCGGACTTGGGACATGCACATACAGAATGCGACTGGCTTAAATATGGTTGCTTGCGCTAATCCCTTCCTAACAGAGGAAGGACAACACGTACCAATATTCATTGAAACAAAGATCATAACTCATCTGAGAAAAAATCAAATAACAAAAATATCGAGCTCCATGGAACATTCAAATTAGAAAGTTCCTTATCAAATGACAAAATCAAAAGCTCAAACACTAGAAACGAATGGAAAACAACTTTCATATTCCAGACTTGGTACAGCCATTTCCTTATGTAGACAATGATAGATTAAACCTGGTGTTATTTCTAGCTAAACCTCTCACTTGTATGACAGTCACAT